TATGAGTACCTTGGTATCGCCCCAAACGGTTCATGGGTAGATACACACGGAACTGACGTCATTGTTTCTTTTAGCACTAGTGAGTCTTCCTTTGTACTACCTTTCAGAAAGAAGGTCGCACCCTGGTTGAAAAACAGAAAGGTTAGAGAGTATTCCCTTACCACCCGTAGCAATATCACTGCTTTTGGGAATGCGGATATAGAGCAAGAGTTTGCGTTCTGTCATTTCGAAATGGAAGCGTCAATGGGTGGTAACAATGTACTTGGCCTCTATAGCCTAGGAGAGTGGGTCTGTCCTTGAAATGACCGCAGTCTGATAGAAGCTTGAAAGAAACTCTAAGGGTGGGATAAAACTATCCGGGCGTACGATACCTCATAGTGCCTGGAGTTCAGTGGCAGCTACACCAGCAATCTATTGGGGTCTCACACAGGCCTTGTGTTGTATCAACTGATTTCAACACATCAGGAGTTGAAACTGAATCAGGTTCCGACATAATCATGTGCGTTTTGTGTGTGCATGACATTGGGTCCGCACGGTTGCAATTTTTGTCGAAGAACTTGGTACGGTGTTGGAATTCTTGTGGAGAGAGAAGTTCTTCGATAAGAGCTGCTATCACACATTCAGAATTAGCACTGTGCGCCCGTGAACACGCATATACATACGAGAGAGAGAGAGAGAGAGGTGTTTACTATGTGCATGCCGCTCACATAAAGGCTTTGGATCGTCGCCGGCGATAGCTGTCGACTCGCCGATGCTGTCAGTTTCTGCAATGTGCTTTTCATCCATAAGAGAATGTTGTCGAGTTCCCGTCTTGTCTCCGAGCCCCTGCGCTGCGCGCTCTTTTGTGCAACTCTTCTCAAAAGCTCTTCGCCGAAGGTCCGAGTGCCCCGTGGATGTCTAGAGGCCGAAGGGTGCAAACTCCACGTCGTTTGCCTCACACAACTGCATGCGTTTTTGCTTCTTAACCTGCTCTGCTTTTTAAGCAGCGCCTCCCGATTCTGTTGCAGCTTCCGTCCAGTACCGTGTAATGTGAGGGCTCCAAGTCGACTTGTTGTGAGCTCAGTTGATCTGAGGCTAGGAATATGTCTAACTTATGGCGTGCGTGCTCCGGTGGATTTGATGGTAAAGGAAAGCACCACTCACGGGTTTGTGTCATCATAAGTGGGAATTGGCGCATTATCTATGGTATTAAGAGCGTCGCGCAACTTGTTGTCACAACAATATTGTGTCGTCGAGTGTCACCTTGCGCAGCAACAAGGCAAGGCAAGTGATTGCCTGGTAACCAAAGTCATCACATGGTTTTCGCTGCTCACATAGAGAGCAAACATACAGGAACCTCTCTCTTCTCCATGTTCCAACAACTACCCAGCCATTTCTCCACTGTTCACGAGGAGGACGGGACATTCATTTCGTCAAAGTTACCTCTGGTAAGGCTTTACCGATGGTATGCGGTTCTGGTTCTGGATCTGCCGGACCTTCGCCACCTGTTCACTTCGTGGACTGCAGCGGCCCTTCGAGCCCTTGGAGCCTTTTGCCGTTCTGGTTGACATGGCACTGGCGACGAAGAATTCCTAAAGATGCCAGATTGTACATGTGTCTCGATCTGATGCTCGACCTTATCGAAAGCTGTCAGATAAATCTGAAATATTGATCTCTGGGGATGAGCCGTTCACCTTTGGTGCAGACGGTATCTGAGGTGGCTGAACCAAATTGTTCCTCATTCCATGGTTCTTCGTCGCAGGTTACTGACAAAGCTTGGCCCCTGAACATGTGAAAGGAAGAAGCATTGGTCTGTACCCTGTTGAGATTTATTTTCTTTCTCAGAGATTTCAAAGGCTTCGCATGATTCTTGTGGTTGCATGACATACTCCGGAGAAGCTTCAAATGTCTCTTCTTTTTGTTTCAGCACTAACGCCGTTCGCGTCAAAGATGTGTGCAGTACCAAATGGTGCGTCATCCAAAAAACATGATACGAAGCGATTTCGTGCACGAGTAGCATACGATGGGACCAATTTCAAGGGTTGGCAGTTTCAACAAGAGGAGCGGTCAATACAGGGTGAAATAGAAAAAGCAATAGAGAGGAAGTTATGCACACGAGTTCGAGTGGTTGGGGCAAGCAGAACAGATTCCGGAGTTCATGCAAGAGGCCAGTCTATTCATTTTGATGTTCCCGAGCAAAAGGCTGCCCGAGAAATGTGTAACATGCAAAAGTTTGAGTTCACATTGAATCAGCTTTTGCCGAATGACGTGATACTTACAAAGCTAGAATTAGCGCCACACGTGATCCACACCGCGATTCCAATGTTTAAGCAGGCATCTTTAAAGACTATACAAGAACCCAAGCTCCGCCCCTGGCATTCTATTTTCTGCTCTACCGGTAAGCTTTATACCTATCGGTTTTCAATTGCCACTAACCTAGACCCCATGGACCGCCTGTATCGATATCACGAGTGGCGTGCTTCCAGGTTTGGCTTTTCGGAACAAAGATTACGTGAAGCAACCGAAAGGTTCCTGGGTTCGCATGACTTTTCGGCTTTTACGAATGCCTCTCATCCACCTCCTGGAATCACTCCCCATTACAGGTGAACCCTATTCGAACAATCCGATCCGCGGACATTGTCTATGAAGGGGACGGGATGTATCGGATCGAGTTTAAATTGGACGGAGCTATGTACAGGATGATACGCAACGTAATGGGAACCATACTTGCCGTGAGCTGCGGCAAGTTACAACTGTCAGACATTGACTTGTTTTTCAAATCTAGAGATAGAAGTCTTATTCCGCGAAGTGCACCGGCACATGGACTATGTCTTGAACAAGTATTTTACGATGACTGGGATATGTGACAGTATGATTGCTGGCTGTCCTTTTCTTGATATCCACAATGTGGTAGGGCATACTTTGTTGAGGCCCGCTGCTCTTTCTGTGACTTGAAGTAGTACCACTGAGCTTTTGAGTGTTATGGTACACAGGCACGCCAAGCCGAACGTCATGGTATGAAGTTGAAAGGAGACTAACTTGGTAGGCTTAGTGCATGTGTATAGATATGAGTTGCTTGGCCGAACCTTCAATACTTGTACAAGAGTCAAAAGCGGATTCTTTGAAGACCACAGAATGAAGAAGTGATGAATTCGTAGCATACAATGCAAAACATTACCGGTGAATGTATGGTCTATGGGCTGCCCACCGGGTATTAGTTTTTTTGTTCTGGAGTGCAGCATTAGCCAGATGTGACGTGGTCAGTAGGCTCTCTTTTGATTCAAGACAAGGTTAAGGCATCCTTTGGTATCCGTGCTTGTATAATGGTGTGTTGGCATGGAATGGGTGTTATGCCAATTGATGAGCTTAACACGTCTTCCATGAACTGGTATCTCAGCAGATCTTGCTCTCCGTAAATGTGCGTTTCATCAACCACACGCGAGTGCGTTCTCACTCTATCACAATTACGACAGTTAGAGAGAAAACAAACCTGCCAAACAGATTTTCAGCAAACCCTTGCTGGATGTATTGTTTTGTATTTACGCCGGAAAAGTCGATGAAGTCGTTGGTTTCCAAAATCAGTGTCCTGAGGAACGAGAACAAAGACCGCAGTTTTCGGAGTAGAATATGTGATTTCATATGGAGGAGGAGCGCACGAAGTTTCTTCTCCGTACTTGAGGCTGAAAAGCGGTAAAGGGATAGCCTTCTCCTTTCAGCCCGAGAATTTCCCTCATAGACCATTTGGTTCTCATGTAGGCGTACAGAAGCAGATGGGCGGTGCAGAGCCGGACACGTGATCTGCAATAGAAATTTCTTTCCACAGTTTTACAATGTGTGGATAGACGTGCAGTAACAAGGAAAAGGTTACGGGGGTGATCTGTAGGACTGCGAAAGATGGAGGCGCTCCAGGCATGTGGCGTTGTGAGTGTTGTTGAAAGTATAGCTTTAGTAATGTACAATGGTTTAGTGGATATCTCAAATAAACATGAGTCTCAACAAGAGAGTAAGTATGTGCATCAAGGTGTGCATAGCGGGCGGACTGGATGAGACTTGGACAAGTAAGCGAAACCGTGTTAAAAGAGAAGTCGTGAGATAAAAACCAAGCAAGAGAACAAGGATCGTTTCCATCGAACGGGGAGGGGAAGTCAGACGTCTTGGAGTGGTGCAAAACAGCAGGAAAGTGATCAGAGTTGTTTGGGAGCAGCCTGCAATGCGGGGCACATGGATCGCATGGCATGTCCAAAAATGTTCTTTGCTGAACGAAGCAGCACCTGCTTGGCGACGTAGCGCGCTGAAAAACGAAGCACACGAACCCAACGCGGACACTGGCGATGGGAGACGTTTACGGTAGTGGTGGCAGCGGTAGTTTCGGCATTTGTATCTGCTGTGATTGCGACGGCATCCTCTGAGTGAATGGCGTCAGCGGGAGACACCAGAGAGGCGAACGGACAGGTTGGACGGTGCTTCGAAGAAGACGGATGTTCGAGCGGCTTGATGTCGACGGTAGCCGATGTGATCTTCGAGATTTGCATAGTTGAGCCGGAGAGAACGCCGCGACGGTCTTCGCTGGCGGAGGGGGTGATAGCGGCGTGAGTCATTATGTTAGCGATGTTGGATGGAAGTTAGCGACGATGGGGTGTGGACATTGGATGGGGGCTGAAGAGTAGGGAGGGGAGGGAGAGGGAGAGGGAGAGGAAGGGGAGAGGGCGATAGCTTCGCGCTCTTTGAAGGCGACGGGCGCGGATGGAGCTCGGGTGGCTGTTGGTGGACGGACAGCGTGTGCCGCGATGTGCCGCAACGTGCCGCAAAATGCGTGGATGGCTAAATTGACATTTCGACGTTGGCGCGTTGTCGATTTGCTGCGCGGTGGCGTTTCGGCTGCCGAGTCTTGTTGTGCATGCTGCTCAAAGGAGTACTTTAGTGCACGACACAGAGGCACAACAAAGCAATCATGGCAATCATTTAGGAGTTTGGAATAAATATGCAACAAGGATTTCGCAGGCATTAGACAGAAACTCGCAGATAACGTGGCCGAGTGGTTAAGGCGATGGACTGCTAATCCATTTCCCTAGGGAGCGAGAGTTCGAATCTCTCCGTTATCGCTGAGACTTCTTTTTGCTGCCCGGCCCTTCTCTCAGCTCTGCCTTCCCACCATTTCCCCCACCTCAGCACACCTGAGTCAGCAGCCGCTTGGCTCTCGCCGATGGAAGCGCTCACCGTCGCCTTTTTTACAAGCCGATCAGATTCTCGTCTGCGCCAGCATGCGTGTCTTCTTCCCTTTGCCAAAACTGCTGAGGCACCCTGGCCTCCAACACGTCCGCAATCCCCCTAAAGAAGGCGCCACTTTCCGCAATGCTTCCTGCCGAAGCACGGAGGCCCTGCGCCAGGTCACCGCCGTCAAAAGCGCGTCCAACCAACGCGTCCCGCAACCCATGCTGTTTGCTCTCGTGTTCACCCCCTGCGTGTAGTTCAACGTTTTCTATAACACTCCCTTTCTTCGCATGCAGCGTTATCCTCCTACCCTGATCCAACTCCACTTCGTACTGAAAACGAGGCGTTTGACCGTATACCCAACCATGACTCATAATTTCTTGTCGCTCCCTTTCAAACCCGTCCACCTCGTACGGTGAGAGCGTCCTCATATGTTCAGTACCAGCAAACCGTTTCGCAATAGCCTCAACCAGCTGTTGCATTCCTACCTCCTGATGCACCCATACATTCGTCACTTTTGAACGAACGCTTTTCGTACCGCTTGCAGTCAAGTCGCCGCGCAGTGGAGACCGAAGCACTCTTGATAACTGCTCCAGGTCCGACTTCACCAGTAACGTACCATGATGATAAGCACGATTTCCACTAATACGATACGCAGCTCCAGATATTTTCATTCCGTCAATCATGATATCAGCCCGATCACTCACATGTGCTCCGCTAACATTGAATTCGTTTCGAAGCACCTCACTGATCATCAGCGCCGCCTTCTTCGGACTGTATTCGTCACGCGAAGTCATCCAACAAAAGTTCAGGTTGCCTTCATCGTGTACTACCGTACCACCGCCAGATCGCCGTCTCACAATTGCTATTTGTTGCTGCTTTGCGAACGACACATCGGCTTCGTTGAACGCATTCTGCGTCCGTCCCAGAACTACGCATGGCGTGTTTATGTAGAACAGTAGCGTTTTTGCATTCGTGCTTTGTAGAAGTCTTTCTTCTGCTGCCAGATTTGTAAACACGTTTCTTGATGGTAGCAGCAGAACGCGAGTGGCGCTCATAATTGTGTAAACGATTCTCTATTGAATTCCTTTGGAGAAGTACCCTTGGTACCTTGCTTGACGTTCTTCGTGTTTCTGATAGATTTGGTCAAAGAGATCCCCGTACAAAGATGTGAGGGCAGATGGTGGAAAGAGATCATTGCATTTCGAAAAGTTTCTGATAATCTTGCGAGATAACAATACTCTGTAAAAGACTTGGTGCTCCTGTATATTCGCCAAAACGCATGAGAGCATATTGCTCGCAGTCGAGTCAGCTTTGAGTACCCGGCATTGCGCGATAGGTCAATAATTCACGGATCAGCAAGGTTTACGAGGGATATAAGGACAACCCTACCAAAGGTAGGAGATAAAGGGTTACCGCTACCTGCGAGGGTGTCCGTATATCCCTGACACTGAGCGCTGCCTATTCTCACCGACCCGTCGCCTCTGCTTTGTCTGCTCCATTCAACGTGACGATTGTAGCAAAACCCACCTTTGTTTCCAGACTGCACCAAGAGTCATTTCACTGTCCTCATACAGCGATCCCACCTTCCAGTTCCCGAAGAATGTTCTCAGTAACCAACGACAGCGCTAACGCTTTCGTTAGCCCACACCCTCCTTTTCCAAGTCGGCAGCTTCATCATCATGAACTCTTACGGCCCAAGCATGCATGTACGAGACGTCTTCCAACTCTTCGTTGTACCATGAAGCCATATCTCGACAAACTAGTGTCACTGAAGAATCTCACCCTTGACGAAAGCACACACGCAGTAACCTACGCTGTGAGTGGTAATGCCCATGACGCAGAGATCGCCGCCTTTCTTGCTTTGCTGGCCGCAAAGGGTGAAACGTCTGAAGAAGTGTTTGGCGTTGCGAAGGCACTCAGGGAACAAATGGTGCCTGTTGTTTCCCCTCACCCGGTTCTGGATATTGTCGGAACAGGTGGTGATGGGTTTAGTACCGTTAACATTTCCTCCGCTGCGTCCGTCGTTGCTGCTGCTGCGGGTTGCAAAGTTGGTAAACATGGAAACAGGTCAGTAAGTTCTAAGAGCGGTAGTGCGGACGTCCTTGAAGCGTTGGGAGTTAATATCAACCTTTCACCAGAAGGCGTTGCAGAATGTATCGATCAAGTTGGAATTGGCTTCATGTATGCGCCCTCTCACCATCCCACTCTGCGTTTCGTAGGTCCTGTTCGTAAGGCTATGAAGATAAGAACTCTGTTCAACATTATGGGTCCACTCCTCAACCCATGTGATGCGAAATACGCAGTGATCGGTGTATACAGCCCGTCTTTACTTGACATCATGGCTGATGTGTTGATATCGTCAGGCGTGAAACATGCCGTTGTGGTTCATACCGCGGGGATGGACGAATACAGCAATACTGGCGTGTCAGAAGTTGTGGAGATCATTGATGGTGTGAAGGAAAGAAAGAGTTTTGATCCCGAAGCAGAGCTTGATATGGCTCGAGTCAATGTTTCAACTCTAAAGGGTGGAGATGCGAATGAGAACGCTGGTATCATTCGGAAAGTACTTGCTGGTGAACTTTCAGGGCCGATAACGGACGCCATTCTTTTGAACGCAGCTGCAGGATGTTACGTATATGGACTCGATCCAAGTATTCGAGAAGGACTGAACAGAGTGAGGGGGGGCATAGCTTCAGGAAAAGCGCTTGAAACGCTTGAGAAGTGGGTTACAGTCTCTCAAGGTTTGTGAGGGTATGACTTATTGACGGCTTTTATAAACAATCGGCTTATCTAACGACCACTCCTACCATCGAACTATACAAAACTTCTATACATAACTCATGTTCCTCATCGCTTATGCGCTTTGGGCTCAGGGATGCAGAACTTGTCTCTCGTTTGAACATCGCAATCGCCGTGTAGTGGGTAGACATAAGATACCTGGGGAACGTTTCTCCGTGGTCTTTCCCGCTTTGCTGATGTCATTAAGTGTTGATCGTGTAGTGCTTCTTGTTGTTCGCTATCCTGTTCTGATATAATGCGCTCCAGTGTGGGACAAGTCTTGACTTTGCGCTTTGAGGATGTTCGTGACTTTTGCGCGTGTTGTGCGTTCGAATGCTTGGATTCAAATCCAACGCCCACGAGATCGCTAACCCTTCTATTCCATTCCGTGGACTTTCGTCTTCGTTTTTCCGGCTGTTTGGATAACATTCTCTTCTTCACCGGTCGCTCGCCAGCGCCTGTTTCACTTGTAGGTATGTCATCATCGCGAAGTTGGGTTTCATCAGAGGAATCGCTCCGAACTCGAGAACTGGCTTGTTGAGTTTGATATGAAATTGTCTTCCGTCGTTTTGCAGTACTGCGAGTTCTAGTAGTACTTGTTACGGTGCTTTTTTCTGGTCGTGCGATTGGGGCTTCCTCTGTGGCTTTCAATTTTCGCTCTGCGAGAAGTTTATCAAGCTCATCCTGGAGTTTGATGACCTGTTTTTCTGCTGCATCCGCTCTTTGGTTCTCTTTCGCAGCCCTCGTTCGCTCTGTTGTGACTAGCGTGCTCCAATGCAAGTTTTCTTGCTCTAAATTGCGAATTGAATCCATAGCAGTGGTCTTTGCACGCGCTTCTGAATGCATGCTCTTTTGCAACGCGGCTAGAATGCGTTCTGTGGACTTCTCCCGTTCTTCAATATCACGAAGTGCCTTATCTCGCTCGTTAGTCACGTGCTTGAGTTGAGTTAGCAGGCGTTCTGTTTCGCTTTTGGCATCTTCTAATTCCTTTCTCAAGGTTTCAACTGTAGCATTCAGTTTTTTGATGGACGCGCTCGCTTGCTCTCGTTCGTGTTGCTGTTCTTGCGCTAATTCGTGGGCTTGATCACGAAGCACTCCAACTTCTGTTTGTGCTTCAAATAGTTCTGCGCTTAGGTCATCTCTCTGATGGGCCGCGATTTCGAGCACGCGGTTGCGTTCCTCCAGAACAGCTGTGATTAAAGTCGGGCCCCTTTCGCCCCACTCGCGAAGCATTTCTGAAAGTTCTTCGTCCATCGCAGGTGCACTTATTATTCCAAAAGATGAAGCTGAGGAGTTATAAAATACAACTGGATTCGTCAAGAGTTACACAAACCGTACTAATCATGGGATGATCAGCGTGTGTGTTCGTTCACCGAAAGCAGTCCAGATGGGTCTAGTCGCGAATACTGAAGCACCGACGCGGACAAAATTTGCTTAGAGAATGACAGGTTGCTGTATGGAATGAAGCATGTATCACGGCTTTCATTGATACGACGTTGTGGTGAACTTTTCGAGAGATGATTGCACTACTTGTGTTGCTATCTATCATATTATTGTCATGTGGTTAGAGGTTTCGTGTCGACACAGCGCTGGACAAGGGCAAGGAGAGATTCTACTGACTTTCAAAACCTGCGAGCCTTCGGTGATGGCTTACGGCTTCAGAAAGTAGTTCAAGTTGGTGTTCTTGATGGTTTCGTAAAAATTTGCACCCGCTTACCGTTAAGTGTCAAGTGCTACCCTTACACGTACGTGCGTAGGGCTTCTTCACATGCCGGCCATCGAGTACTCGCAAACGATTACATGGAAAGCACGAGCGTTTCGGCTAACAATAGTTGTAAGCTTGGTTCATACTTACGAAAGGCGCCTTTTTTCGAAACATAAATGCACGCGGGCTGTTCTACAAAGTTTGTAGAATTTTTAAATTCTAGTGTTTACCCGTGTACCGTCGTACCCAGCACAGGCGCGTGCAGATGAAAACGTCCCTTATCCACTTAGAGCAAGGTCTCCTTTACTGCCACACGGTTATCCAGACTTAGAAGCGAGCCATGAAGTGCAAGCGTTCTTGTTCGTTCACCATTTCATCCATCGCGCGTAGCTAACCCCGATCACG